CAGGAATGACCAAATCCAACATACCTACCTGTTCAGCCAACTCCAGGAGTTATCAGTGCACTCAGGGAAAACGACCCCTTTTTCCCATCAACCGCTAGCTGGCGCCACTGATCCTTAAAGGCTCCCCTCCTTCAAAATAAGGATCTCTGCAGCATGGCTTTGCTGTTCTGCAAACACACAGAACTGGAAGTACAGTTTGGCTACGCTGAAACAGCGTAGGGAGCACTGACTAGCTGTATGTTTGAACAACTCGCTTTCTGGCACCATTTCTCCATGTAAAAAAAATAAGAGAGTAATACCTACATCCCTCATGAACAGCACAGGGAGACAGAGGAAAAGGTAACACGCTGCAGTACTCCAAAGCATTTCCTGTCCTTAATAAAAGATTAAGTGTTTGTGTCCTGTTTTGCACAGTTACAGCATTGTCTCAACAAAGGGAAACACGGTGCAGTCTGCGTGCCACACGGCTCCTACCCACCTCTGATAACCAGCCAAACCACAAAGAACAAGCCTGGAGGTTTCACTGGAGCTCCCTTAGCTCTCCAGGACTCCACATAAATCTGTAAGTCTTCTACACTGGCCAACTATCTTTCCAAGAACACATGTAAAAGGTCTCAAGTTCATCTGGGTTTCCAATTCCATCACACAGAGCATCCGAAGACCTCAGTGGCATAGGAATACAGCAGGCAGCTTGATAACATCATTAGATGGCCAAAGGGTAAGACGGGAAGTGTCTTGGCTAGACCGGAGGGAGATCATCAACCACACAGGCAGTTCCTGCGTGAGGATGCCTGTGTCTGACAGCCAGGAGTGGGTGGCACAGCGCACAGGGGGCCAGCACAGCATGAGCTGGAAGCCCTAGTTCCTGTATCACAGCAGGAGAATCTGTGAATGAGGAAGGGAGAAGACAACACACAGAAGCAGAGGAGAAAAGGGTGTCTAAAAGAGCCTCTGCTCATCAGCATCACCCTCTTTTATCCCTTTCTTCTTCCTATGTGCTTGCAGTATGCAAAACTCATCCAGGTTATAATTTACAACATCCTAACATATCTGAATTAAATATATATGCTCTGGGGACATCCTGAAGTCACCCACACTAACTTCTTTGTAGCTGTACCGTCACAGGTTTCAGGTAACAAGTACTCACCAGGGTGCGGGAGGGCTTGGGCAGCCGCCACCATGCTCTGTGCGGCTACAACTACCCCACTATCTAAACCCAAGGCAACTCGTTTAGGGCCAGCCACGACAGGCCTGGGCAGGCAGAAAGCACACTTCTGCACTCCAGCAAGCGTTAGCATTCGAGAGACTTAGATGGCTGATAGCCTCAGTAGGTCCTAATAGGCTTGTGGGCAGGTATCCAGCACTGCCACGGGGCACAAAAAATATAAAGAGTTAGCGGGTAGGAAAGAAAATTACCAGGGTTGTTCTGTGGCTGTGAGGTAGTATCCTAGGAATAGTATAGGGGCATCCCCATGAAGAACAGCAGATGGACTTCAGTGACAGAGAGAAATTTTATTTTTGGTTGCTTTGGCTTTATTCCAGCTCCATCTACATCAGATATTGTCACGTACTTAAAAGGAAAAGGGGTTTTCTCAATCCCAAGAATATCTAAGCTAATGAATGCTTTTAGCATGTCTTACAAATAAACATAACTGGAACAAAAAAACTTCACTGTGATTCACTTGGAAAAACTACGTATAGTTCCTGGATAAAAAGAGTAATTGCATGGGGAGAGGCGGTTATTTCTTCAGTTCTGAATTTTTCCACATAACAGTCTCATTTTCTCTGTATCTACACTGCGTACCTGCTTGGGTCCATCCTGCAACGCCTCTGTGGCTGAACCAAGCCTGGCTGATGTGCATTTGATGCTTACCTTCATTGACACAGCTCTGTTAAAATGACTATGGATGCTTTAAAACCACAGTACACTGAACGCTGTGGTTTTAATTAGTTCGTCGTTACCTCACCTTTGGAAAACCTGGCTACTGATGCACACTAACATCTTGATGAATCAGCAAATCAAACAGAGTTTGGTCTCCAAGAACAGGCAGAAGTGAAACTGTTACCTTAATCCCTTCAATCCTGAAGCCCAGGTTGGCACTAGAGCTAACGGTTTCCCTCCACTGCATGTACCGGGGTTTGGTGACAGCATGCTGGGCATTCTCTTCAGCCGTGGGAGCAAGAGGATCCACTTCAATCATCTTCTTGTACATGTCCTTACGCAGCTTTGGTTTCTCACGGGCCTTAGTCAACTCTTCCTCCAGGTATGTCCTGCAGAAACATCACATCCCAACAAAACTGTAAGGATTCCCCAAACATTGCTTTTTACAACTTATAACCACCCGGCCTCCAGAGATGTCAACCAGGAAGGTAGGTGTTACCATTACTCCTGTTTTGCATATCAGGCAACTAAAGAACATGGATAGAACAGGCATATTTAGTGACACAGCTTCAGGAATCAGGAATTGTGTCATTCACTTCTTGTTCTAACTATACCTTTACCTACTGTTACATGTTATTATTACGTCCTGTTCACAGTCCTGCTGTGCCATGAAACAGACCTGCGTTTTCAGAGGATGGTTAGGAGATCACTTACGAGGAAATCAAAAGCAAATAGGGCTGCTGAAGTCTTACTGTCTTTTCTCTCTCCTCAAAAAAAAACCTAACATCAGCCATGGTGTGATTTGTTTAGGGCTCAGAAATCAATGAAGGTTTTACTTAATGCCTCACACAGTGAAAGACAATCACTCTTCATACAGTAAAAATGAAAGAGCAGAGCAGATTATCTGAGCAGCTCCAAACCAGAAGAGGTAACCAAGAACAGGAAGGTAAAGGGTGACAAACCTTCCACATTTTGCTGTGGAACACATCAATCACTCATCCCCTTAATCTGGTAACCATTAGAAAGGCACTATTCACATTCTCTACATTCCACTGGATTCCTACAGCTGGTCTCTCCCCACAAAGCTTGCACTTTGTGGGGTGCCTGGAGCGTACTTTCTCCGTCACAGTGTAATAAGCCAGGCTGGTGTTTCGGAGATGCTGTCACTCATTACCAGCGTGTCACCTATTTCGAATCAAATATGTACTGCTGCAAATCCTTCCCGTTTCTTCTGGGCATACCAGTGCTACACATTCCTACTCTGATTTAACTGACAATGTAAGATTCTGCATCTATTTGGAAAGGCTTGTCTGCACTCCTGTGAGTTGAATAACTCATTTATGACATTTACTCTTGAGTCTGTGAGCTGGCACCCAAAAGATTACTACGACAGTTCATACTCCTTTGTTACTCCAGGGTCTCCACAGATTCCTTATCTGTTTGCTATGCTTACATAATATTTTTGAGGTTTTTCTCTCAATCACAGACAAGAAAAAGGAAAAGAAAGTGAGAATGTCGAGAACAAGGTGGTAGCATCACGAAGATGTCAGAGCAGGGAAAAGCACAGGTCAGTCCTGAGCAGATGGTCAATTGTTTTCTTTACAGAAAAAAATCAATACCACTGAAGACCCATCGGAGCATCAGAAATGGGCTTTCACATTGCTGTTCAGTCACTCACATTTGGAGATAGGAATTTTACTCTTTGTGGGGTTTTTTTGAACCACAGCATACACAAAGATTAAATGAACTGACAGTGAATGAATCCTGTAATTTTTTTCCCATGTATTATCAGGCCACTGGAGACAAACTTTGTCTTAAATCACGCCTGAAAATACCTTGACGTGCATAGTTTTTTGAGGCTGTAGATCAGTCAGTTTACAGAATCCAGGAACAACCACGCAACAGTGGGACACACTCCCCTCAGGCTGCCCAAGGCGACTGCCACACCAAGAACGGGTTGTTAGGACTGAATCCCAAGTCTCTAAAAATGTTACCAAACTCCTCCAGACAGAGCGTAACCACATCCCCCTGACTCCCACCTCCTTCAAAGGCACTTGGGTTAGAAAGCGCTTTCTGTTTCATGCACCCCACCTGATCCCCATCTTGCAGTCCATCACACAAGGCCCTTCAAAATCAGTAAGCAAGTCATCCAGCTGAATGTAGCTCTCGCCATCTCTCTCCACCACACCATGGAAGCAAGGGACACAGGAGCGTAGCGGGTCTTTCATCAATCGCTCAAAACACTCCTTTTCATTCTCTGAGAAGCGTTTGAGAATCTTCCCACTATCAGCTGCCTTGAAACTGCCTAAAAAAGAAAAATCAAAACACATGCAGACAAGACTGACCCGCAAAAAAGAAAAACACCTTCTCCCATCACTCCAGCTTCATCTACCTTGGCCACACAACACCGGTTAAAGATTTCCCCTGAAAAGCACATTATCTTTTTTGTTCATTAAAAAAAAAAAAAAAAAAAAAAACCACACAAAAAACACACCCAGGACAAACACAATCGTTGGCAGTGAAAGTCTGTTTGGATACATTCCCGTGTCAGAATTCACAGCTTTAAGGTGTACAGCTGCTGCTCCAGACCACTGTGGGGTTTTTTCCATGCTAACTCTTTGTAGGACATTAAACACTACTACACTTATTAAAATGCACAGGAAGAAGCCACGAGCCAGAATTCATTAATCGTCTGACAGGCTATATTAAAGCTGCGTAACACTGCCGGTGTTGGCTTCGTCCTTAATCCTCACATAGGGTGTACCTGCTGAGTGTGTATGTACCATACGGTCAATCAGGGATCGTTACACAGCCACCAGCGGGCCAGAGGCCAAGCCTTGCCCTTCCCACACACACACGGTGTGGCTGCGCGGTACCTCCAGGCACTGACTCTTCTCCGGAGCCCCGCTAACCTGGGGGTACTGCCTGACACGCAATTGGTTCTTACCACCCTGTGTCCGAGAGATACCCAGTACAAATGACAATCTGCACAGGCCACGATCGACAGCAATTGCAGCTGTGGAAGTCGTTCTCCTGTCCCGCAACCCACCAGTAACATCTGAGGAAAGTACATGCTTCGTTCAGAAGTACCCTTTAATCTACACGACATAAAACAGGCGCCAGAGGAGGAGCCCCGTTAATCCTGGGGCTAACGCTCAACTTTTATCACAGCAGGAGCCTCCAGCCATTGCAAACTGGTTCTGCTCTGACAAATCTGACATCAGAAGGATATTGACCGGTTGGAGCGAGTCCAGATGAGGCCACGAAGATGCTCAGAGGGCTGGAGCACCTCTGCTATGGGGAGAGGCTGAGAGAGTTGGGCTTGTTCAGCCTGGAGAGGAGAAGGCTCCGGGGAGACCTTATTGCAGCCTTCCAGTACCTGAAGGGGCTACAAGGAAGCTGGGGGGGACTTTTTACAAGGGTCTGTAGTGACAGGACCAGGGGGAATGAATTTAAATTGAAAGTGGGGAGCTTTAGATTGGACATCAGGAAGAAGTTCTTCACGGAGAGGGTGGTGAGGCACTGGAACAGGTTGCCCAGAGAAGCTGTGGATGCCCCATCCCTGGATGTCTTCAAGGCTAGGCTGGATGAGGCTTTGAGCAACCTGATCTAGTGGAAGATGTCCCTGCCCATAGCAGGGGGGTTGGAACTAGATGGTCTTTAAGGTCCCTTCCAACCCAAACCACTCTACGATTCTGTGATTCTATGAAATCCTGCAACTGGTGTTGCCTCAGCACAAGGGCAAGGGTGGCGATGGCCCAGGCGGTATTTTAGAAAGAACTTGTCATATCAGAGAACAACAGATGTAAAAAGGATGGACTAAATGCAACCACAGAAAACTACCTAAAGCAAAGGGGAGCAGTACCTCTCCTTATCAGCTTCTAGTAATTTCTTAACCCTCCTCTTCCACCCTAGTACACAAGCCTCCAGAAGACTTATGATTACACGAACCAGCGCATCACCGCACGCGGATCAAGCCAACCCCACACCCACTGCGACAAAAACTGCAGTAAGACTGGGTCGTCTTGGCACTCCGCGTGATGCGAGTCAGCCCCACCAGCACCACCGTGCAAAATGCAGCTACTCCATTTCTAGGACAAAGTATATTTCTCTGCACAGCTTTGAAGTGCATCATATTAGTGCATTAGCATATAATGAGGTGGTTCAGGTACTGCATTAAAGCACGATGCAGCGTAGGTGCCTGCCCACGTGTGTACTAATAAACCCCGCACTAGCACTTTAGGAACAAGGGCTGCACAGGAATTAAATGAAGCACGAGAGGAGCAAACCTGATGACTTCTCTTTGTTATCTTTTTTGTCTTACCAAAACAAAGCCTACATCAGGAGCACACTTACCAACTTCCACAGACACAAAACTAGAACCAGCTGACTGAGGTGCTCCTTGCACTCTCCCAGCGAACGCTGACAGGCTCACAATGCAAACACCTGGCCAGCAGCTCAATTTTCACCAGATTCATTTCCCAGCCAAGGGCTCACCTTCGGATGAGGGGTTTGGGGCTGGTATTAGAAACACTGTCCTTGCCAGGGCTGAGGCACACACAGGCATGGGCAGTAAACCTTCCCACTAGGGAACCGACATATTGGGTACTCAAGTGATCCCATACCACAACTAACAGCAACAGATGGACTAAGGCTTCAATTCCCCAGTCCCTCCTGTTTCCCTCTAATGTATATTTTACATATATCACCTTACAAGGATGCAGCAGAAGCCTGGCCCTTCCCCAGAGTTTGACCATTACACTTCCTTGCTCATCTCATAATTCAGGTATATCACTCCCCGTTCCCTATCCCCGCCACAACCGAAGAAAAGATGTTCTAGTTCACAGACTCATGCAATAGTGCCTGCTCCCTTTTACCTGAAGGAAGGACACAGAGAAACGCCAAAAAATCGTCTTCCTTGCTGCTGCTACCCTCCCTCCAGACACAAACAGTGAAGATATCCAACTCACCTGTATGACCAGCCAACTGCACCCACGAGTAGCGTTTCTTGAAGGGGCTGATGACTGGTAAATTCACCATGGTTTTAATTGTATGCCATGCCTTTTTCTGGAATAGGAAGAAAAGAAATATTAAGTTGGGCAAAACCTGAAATCCTGGCATGCCACAAAGCTTCATGCACACTGAATTGTTCCTCGCTAAGTGCTCAAAGGTAGAACCACAACACACATGCCAGGATCATCATTGGAAAAATATGCACACAAGACCAGGAATGGACAAATACTTAAATATATTGCCCTACCACCCACAAGAAAGCTGCCTGCAAGAAATAAAGTGTCATACTGCATGTCACAGGTCTGTTTTAGCCACCCCGACCGGCTCTGGGTCTGAGTCATGCAGCATGCGGAAAGCAGATGCTGAGCACACACTTAAGCACGTTTTGAGTTTCCATGAGACGTGAACGCAAGCTGTTTGCCACTGTCAGCAATACTTCCTTTCACAGAGAACTTGGGCATCACCTCGTGATTAACAGCTTTCTCCAAGTCAGCAGGTGAGTCTTACTGCAACAGATACATAGAAAATGCATCTCTAGGGGGCATGGAGTTCACCCAGGTCTCCCAGCACCCGCCGATGGCGCGCTGTAGAACCTACGCCGGGTCACGGGTTGCCCTGCTCCCTCCCCTTTCCCCATCCTGTTACTTTTTAACAACGCTGGACATTGCTCTGGCCGCCTTTGGCTGCCGCAGGGTGCAGCTCCCTGGATAGCGCTGCGGGCAGGGAAACGGAACAGCTGCTCCCAAGCAGCAGCCGAGTGCTCTGCCGCACAGGCAGGGAAGGAAAAACCATAGAAAGTGAGAAAGTCTCATGCTCAGGAACTGAAACCCGGGTGGGAGAGAAGCACAGCCCACTGGCATTCATGTGGCACTCCAAGGGATCCCAAAGTGCTTTACAAACAGGACAGCAGGCTCGTTTCTTCTGCCACTGGGACATCATACCCTGCCAGAATGACAAATGGAGTTGCACAATGCTTGTGCACGACGATTTAGCTCCAAGAGCTTTTGGCTGAGATCAAGTACAGTTGGGGATTCGGCTGCATTTACGGAAGTGCTTATCAACAGCCTAACTGGGATTCACCAAAATCAATGGGAGGCATCGATTTCACTGAAAATGAGTTTAAGTCATCGTTTTAACACCTGAAAAATCCACCTGGGAAACAACCATGTCTTCTCTAGCAGGAAATTGATGTCATGATTTAGATGCTTCGGATAGCTGATTTTTATTGTCTTCTACACTATACTTCTACAGAAGTGAAAAATATAAAAAGTGAAATTGCAAGCAGCAACACACAGGCAACACATAGCTCTCCAGATGACACTCCGACCTGGCCATCCTTCCCCAAACAATCCCTTGCACCACATTTCTTAAAAGGTATCCTCTAGCAACACTGGTCGCCATGTGAGGGCATCCAGAGGATACGTGAACTCAGAGACACAAGTAATCTTCCTTTTAGGGATTTGTCTTCACAAGAAAGTTTCAAGCCTTCCAGTACCTCAAGGGGGTCTACAAGAAAGCTGGGGGCAGGAGGACACTTTTTACAAGGGCCTGTAGTGACAGGACAAGGGGTAACGGGTTTAAATTGAAAGTGGGGAGGTTTAGATTAGATATCAGGAAGAAATTCTTCACAGAGAGGGTGGTGAGGCACTGGAACAGGTTGCCCAGAGAAGCTGTGGATGCCCCAGCCCTGGATGTCTTCAAGGCCAGGCTGGATGAGGCTTTGAGCAACCTGGTCTAGTGCAAGGTGTCCCTGCCCATGGCAGGGGGGGTGGGACTAGATGGGCTTTAAGGGCCCTTCCAACCCCAACCATTCTGTGATTCTCTGAAATTAAGCTGACATAACAATTCAGTTGCCACATGAAATAAGACTGTTTCTTCCTATTTAACTTATTTCGGGTTTGAATACAGTTCAAGCTGAAATGAAGTTGTTCTCAGTATGATTTAAGTGCCTCATGCAGCATTAATAGTTTTGAAGATCTACTGTGCCAGTGAGAAGAAGCAGCCAAAGAAAATCCCAGATGTTTGAGAACCGCAAAGACTGAGTTGCACTTACTGCAAGCCCACAGACGTTACTAGTGGGTTTAAATAACCCTTTCATATTTGATATTATTTGGATTTCATATTCAATATTATTCCACCAAAGATGTTCCACGCTGCAACCCTGCAGTGCTAAACAGCGACTTGGCTTTACCCCAGAGCTAGCTGCTGTTTAGTGAGGATGAGGGAGACTCTCGTACACCGCTTATAAATGTGCACAGCTTCCTCTTGGAGGAAAGTGTAATGTAACTATTGTCATTCATGTAGATAAACTACTTTTGTACAGTCTATTTGCCAGATTTAACTGATAGCAGAAGCCCTTCGGTCTGCTCTGCTGTTTCTACTCCAGAGGGACACAGCCCTAAGTTATTTAAAGAACAGTTGAAAGTAAACATCGTTCTGAGTTAAAATGACCCCTTTGAACGTAACTCCTGCCAAACATTTCGTTTTGGAAAATTCCAAACCAATTCTCAGGGTAAGACTGCATTTCCCCACCCCTCAGTCAGAAGCAAGCATTGCTCCGTAACCCTCCCCTAAAGATCCTATACTCATCATGATGTCCCACTCCTAACAAACTGCATCCTGTCTCCCAAGGACCTGTCATACTGCTATATCCAGAAGTGATGAGAAGCACAGGTTTTCAAGGAATACATCAATTGTCAATGCAACACCACACTCCAGTGGCTTTCCCGCCTCCTCCCTCCCACTCAGCCCTCTGAAGCTGCAGCTTGTATTTGTGCTGTGGGTGTGAAGGAGAGACAATGGGCCAAACTCAGCCCCAGCTCAAGTGGATTTTGGCTGCTTAGACTACAGCTGCCTTGCACGAGCACGTTTAAGCTACTCATAAAATAAGCAGACACTGACAATTTTTTTTTAAATTTATTTTAAATAATCTCTTCACAAACCTTTTTCTCCCCTCGAGACAGGGAAAACACGAGGCTCAAACTAGGAGGGAAAGGATTGCTTCCAGACACATCCCATGGGGTGTGCTGCCACTGGCAGGGATTCAACAGCTGCACTTCCCTCTACAGCAATTTCCAGTCTCCCAACTCACTCAACCCAGGCTACAAATTGCCAGGATGCAAACAGGGCTGCATGCTGTTGGAGCAGTGGTGTGAGTGGGAAGATGAAAACTTTGTGTGCCTGCTGTGGGAGGAATCTTTCTCACTTCTATTTCTAAAGCAAGATCTCTTCCTCTTTGTTAGCAATGGTATTATGTGCTTTTCAAATCACTGCTTCGTGCTGCAATGGCAGAGAGGACTGCAACCATTGCCCATCTGGATCTGCAGTCTGTATCTTCCTCAGTCCCTGTTTCTTCTAGGCGGCTGCTCAGTATTCCTTAATCTTTTGCTCTGCCTGAGTTTCTCCAAGCCCTCATTTCTTCTAGATTCCCAGCCAGTATATGCTATTCACATATATTCAAGGAGAACTCAGATACCTCTGTATTAGGATTGCCTGAATCAGATGCTCTTGACATCACCGATGTGGTTTTATATGCCTCTTGAGATGAATATACTCAAAAGTTTTTCAATAGGAAAAAAGAAACCACTCCAAAAGGACCAAGAGGCAAACATGAGAAATATTAACATTCTTAGATTCAGCATGTAAGTCACTCAACGTGAAGTGTAACTGACACGATACAGATATACATCCCTAAGCAATAAAAGGCGTGGGATGCTGAAGAGGGGAAAAGCTATTTTCCTGCCAACAGGTCAGCCTGTGTGACAACCTGTGCTATTAGAACTGTGTCCCTGGTTGCAACGAAAGAAGGATTCAGGGGAAGAGAATGGGAGAGCAGATTCCCGTAATACGGTCACAATGCATGCAGAGGATTGTGGCTAGGTATCTGACACGGATTTGTGTCACCTGGGTTACTCTCTTGAATCACAGCAGCACTGAAGAGAGCCTACATCCATGCAGCAGACTTGCTCTGTGTTGGCATCGTCATCCACAGACTAGATACTAGCCAGATGGGGCATTCCCAACCTATTCAACCCTAGACAGGGACAGCTGCTGCCATCATGCCTATCCATCAAGAAACAGCAAAGACGAGCATCACTGGTTCCTGTGAACACAGCTTTCCCCAGGCCTTTTCTCACAACGAGAGCACAACCTCACGCATTACTAGTATGCCGAAGCACAGCCATTATGATCCTGCCCAGACGCACCAGTAAGACGTGGCTGAGGAAAATCCACTGAATTCCTCGGGAGGCGTTTCACTCATTTGAAGGGGTTTTGGCTCAGGTCTCACTCTCCCCAAGAACTAACCCACAGGAACTAACCAGCTCTCTTGAAACCTTAACACACACTTTAAACATATGTAACTACCTGCAGGCAAGTACTTACTATCTGGTAACAGGAATTTGTAGAATATAGTCCTAAGTGAAGCAAATATAATAATTAAAAACAACAATCACATCTAAACTAGCAAGTATGGGGCAGGGAGATGGGAATAAGAAAAACCTTTTCTTCAAAGGAAAAACCACGCTCTCTGTTTTAATAATCCTAGCACGTTACCTCAAACAATAGTTGAGTTAAAGAACAACAGTATGTTGAAATGTAACATAAATCAACAGGGTCCCTAAAAAGTTCATTCTTCCATCAGCAGCAGAGTGGAGGAGTAGTTTCTTACCTGAGCTGGTAAATTTTCATGGAAATTCTGCTAGACTGTAGTAAACAATGACCCTTGAATCCTTTTTCCAGGAAAATTTCAGCAGTTTCTTTAACCGAGATCCTGTTGTCTTTTTTTGTGCACTAGTACAAAGCCCACACAAGCCTACGGAGAGCTATTATGACAGCAAGAAACAAAAGGATAGTGAGAAATTTCTTTGTAACTTTTATTTTTTTAATCCTAAAAGGCTTTAAGAAAGAGTACTTAATTGTCAGTCATCATAATCTACTGTTCTCTCAAAGTCTTTACATCGTTTAGGCTAAATTCTGCCACTCTGGGACATGGGGGCTGAAATCTGATGTGTAGTGCTGGTTGCCACTGCCTACTCCGTGTCTCACTAACTCCT